AGCCCACCCCTCCCAGGGAGACTGAGCTAGCCCACCCCTCCAGGGAGACTGAGCTAGCCCACCCCTCCCAGGATAATTCTGACCATCTGTGCGCCAATCTCCTCTCTCATGGGAATGTCCTGCTGGATGGACCCAGGTGCCCAGATCTCTGCCCTCCTTTTGAGTTTCAAAGTTGTGCAGCCCCAAAATGCAAGAACCATGTTCCTAGAACGCTGCATCTGAGAAATTCCTTATGTCTCCAACAGGCAGGACAGAACTGTCCCTCCCCTGGGCAGGAGCTGGTCTGTCCTGCTCTGGGGGTGGGACGCCGTGTCTCTGAGCCCAGCCCTTCACGCCCTGCCCACCACGCTGCCCCCGGCCCTGTGCCGAGGACCTGCCTGCAGAGAACACAGTAAGAAACAGACACGCCGCGGGCCCCACGTCCCCACTGCGCTGCCGGAGTGGGCCCCGCAGAGCTTTCCCCACGGTGACCACTCCATCTGGTGTCTACCACATGCAAGAAGCCTGAGTAACGCAAAAGAAACACCGGGTGCTTTTCACACCCAAGCCCACAACGGGGACTCGCAAGTTCTCAAGGACTCGGTGAAGAGATGCTACAGGACATCCATGCGAGGGAACTCAGCCACACACAAGAGCAGGGTGAGAGACAGAGTGAGGATTCTGACTGCTTCCTTCCCTGGGTCTCGGTGGAGCACCAGCAAGCGTGGACCAACAGGTCAAGGAAGAGGTGCCCACGAGTAGAGAAAGGAAGGCAGGAAAATGCAGCCACAACATTCAACACACAGAGGTGAAAACAAGTAGTGGATCCCTATTTGCCACCATGAATTAATATCAATTCAAAATGGATCAAAGACCTCAAGGCCAGATCTGAAAGCTTGAAACTACTGCAAGAGAGATTCAGAGACACATTAAAGCTTACAGGCGAAGGCAGGAACTTCCTGAACAGAGTCCCAGGAACGCAGCAGAACGACTTGACAAGTGGGACTACAGCAGAATAAAAAGTTTCTGCACAGCTGATGACATAGTCACTAAACTAGAAAGGCAGCCAACGGGCCAGGAGAAGATCTTGACCAGCAATACACCCAACAAAGGCCTCAAGAAATTAATCCTTCCCAAAGCTAATAAACCAATCACCAAATGGGCAAAGGAACAACGAAGGAGAGAATTCTCAGAAGAAGGGGTAAGAATGGAAAAGAACACAGGAGGAAATATTCCTCATCCCTGGCCATCAGCTCTGAGATTCCATCTCACCCCAGTAAGACTGGCCAACGTTCCGGACTGGAACAGCAATGGTGCTGGGATGTGGGGGAAAGGGTGGAAACGTGCAGCAGTGGCGTTCACTGAGCCCTGGAGAGAGTGAGCTGTACAACCTGTGGGTGGAGACGGAGGGTGGCTGGAGAGGGTGAGGACGGAAGACACTGCGCAGCGCAGGAGCGACGCACTCACTTCCTGACGCGTGTACTTTCAGTCCCCGCGTACCATCACCGCCGCCGTAACAACAATAAGTAAGAAAAAAAGAGTTGGTTTCAAAAAGAACTCCACATCTACCCAACAAAATTAAGAGACGCGCGGGCGGAGGGGCAGCAGGGAGGGAGGGGTAAGAAAATGCTGACGGGGCGACAGTGTTCAGGACGCGTCGCACTCATGAACTGCTTTGGAAAATGGGGGTTCCTTTACACAGCTACTCAAAGATAATAAAGTAAAAGTAAAGAGGACATGCCCGGGACAAGCCAGAAGTCTTCCACGTGGCTCATCAGGTCTGAATGGCTTTTCCGCTAAATATCCCTCGGATCTACCTGCTCCTCTCCACGGCTGTGACTCTGTCTAGCAAAGTCCCGGTGGGGTCCCTGGGGTTCACCAACGCCGGCACAGCCTCTGGGGAGCCTCAGGGGTCCCAGGAGACAGCTCAGGCAAGGCCCCCAGGAAGAGGCTGCCCCTGCTGGCCCAGGGGCGCCGCGGCCCGCCATTCCCCCACGGGCGGCTGGAGCTCCCTCTTCCCGCATCCCCCAGACCAGCCCCTCCCTGCACCTGACCCCACTGTGAGCAGCCAGCCCGTCTTGCCCACGGAACTGTCTCTCTACGGAGGCTTAGGACCTATCTTAAACCCGGCACGTAAAGGATCGTTGTTTTCCAAAGAACGAGGCACACAGACTGGCCAGCAGGCCCTCCCCGGGGGCAGTGGAAGGAGGCCATTCACCGGCCAGGGTTTGGCTGACTCCACAGCTCTGTGATGGAACCAAAGATTTCCCACATTTTCTTGATCAAAATGTAACCCAGGAAAGCTGCCCGCGGGCCTCAGCGCAGGTACCAGGCACGCCAGCACTCATCCCCCCCCCACGGGCTGCCCGCGGGCCTCAGCGCAGGTACCAGGCACGCCAGCACTCATCCCCCCCCACGGGCTGCCCGCGGGCCTCAGCGCAGGTACCAGGCATGCCAGCACTCATCCCCCCCCCACGGGCTGCCCACGGGCCTCACGGGCTGCCCGCGGGCCTCAGCGCAGGTACCAGGCACGCCAGCACTCATCCCCCCCCACGGGCTGCCCGCGGGCCTCAGCGCAGGTACCAGGCATGCCAGCACTCATCCCCCCC